GGGGGGGTGGGAGGGGGGTCGGGCCCAGCGGAGCTGCTCCCTGGCCAGTGTGCAGTTCACGGGCGTGAGCATGTTCCCCATTCAAACCCGCTGGAGTGGGCAGCCGCCCTGGGTGCATGCGCTCGCCTTTGTTATCGTTTGCTCATCTCTCGGTAGTTTCGTGGGAGCTGGCATTGCCAGCGGAGTGCCGGGTCAGCGGTGAAGACCTGTCCCCCAGCCCTTGAATGAAGACCAGGGACACCCATGGGCACCTCCTTTAGGGCTACCCCCGAACAGTCAGGATGTGTCAGACCGGGGAGCGCCGGCCACTGCACCACTTCCCTCAGTTGGCTGGGCCACAGCGTTCCGTTTTGTTCGCTGTTCTGGCCTCACTTTCTGTTAACAACATCTTGCTTTCGCGCTGAAGTATTTTGATTCTGAGGAAAAAGGGGCGGTTTTCCAAAGCATAAAGGTAAAAGCCACGCAGGACACTGTGGCAGCCGGAGGAAATGTTCCGTTCCCCGTCTCACACTGCATCTGGAAGAGCTGGGATGCCACAGAGACCCGGGCCCCAGTACGTGGCTCATGGCTCTGTATCCCTGTGCGCGGCTCCGCGGGGCCTGGGCTACGTTGCTGGAGCGGGTTAATCCTGCTCACTGAATGAGCTGGACCTCTATTACTAGTGCTGCTAGAGAGCTCCTATAACTGCCACTTTCCACTTGCGGTTATTTTTATCAATACCTCAAGGTTTTCCTTACTTTTCAACATTAAAAATCTGTAGAAACAAACAAATACAAACTAAAAACTAAGAAACATGTTTCGGAGATATTAGGGTTCGGGAGATGGGAGGCGGAGCCCTGGCAGCCAGACAGCAAAGCCTGCAGCGGCAGAGGCCTGGCTGAGCGGCCACGGGGCTGACGGTGGCCCTGGCGGTGGCAGTGGCGGTGGCGCGGACAGCGGCTGGCAGGAGGCCTCTCTGTATTCCTCGTGAGGGCTTCTCCTTCATGTAGCTTCCAGCGGAGCTCTGCTCTGACTGGGCTGCTGGATCTGAGCATCAGTCTTCTCATCTGTAGAATATAAGGGACTAATTCCCGCTAATGACGCCTTCGCCTGGAAAGACAAGGGAGGGAGCCGCCAGGCTGCCTGGTCCCTGCGACACTGGCGCCTGGCTCAGGGGTCCCCTTACCTCCCGATCGCTGTGCTGCCCAAACCCCATGCTTTCTGAGTTTTTGTTACAAACAGCTGTTTGTAATCCGTTTTGTTACAGATTTTTCTTACAAAAATCTGATTCAGAACAGTTTAAGTTCCAAGGGAATGTGTTATGAAATATTGGGGTACTCAGGATTTGGAGGGAGGATTGGCTCTACTGGGAAAAGCAAAGACAGTTTTGGGACCTCATGGCTTCTTCATAGACGTTTCCCTGGAGCAGGACCACGGCCACCCGGCTGGTCTGCTCTCAATCTCTGCGGCTTGGGCGCCAAGGCTCAGGTTGCTGGAGGCCCAATCTGGTTGGTTTAGCTGTTGGGTCAGCTGTCTCCCTGAGAACCCACGAGCCCACGTTCCGTGGTTGGGGGCCCAGTGAGATATGTGTACATATACCGGATGTCCGAAGCATGGGGGAGGGTGGAGAAGTGTTGGGGGCATAAGGTGGGATTGCTGAGGTACACCAAGAGGCGTCTGCATCTGTCCCCTCTGTGCATTTGACCAGCAGCCTCTTCATGACCACACGTGCACTCCCCACCCCTCTCCCCAGGGGGCGGCCCGAAGTCATGTTCAGCTGTTGTAGCCAGGATGCCATGAGCTCTCTGTCCCTGAAGTCCAGCACCTCTACTAGCTTGTCCCTGCTGCTTTGCTCTTCAGTACGTAAATGTTCATGACCCTCATATCCAGGGATGCATTCTGACTTCTGGGACCCTAAGCATTTTTGTCTTTTCTGGACACTTTCCTAAAAAATTCAAAAGTATATTTTATGGCTATGTTGGTTATAGATAGTATATTAATATTTTAAATTAATTTTTTCAACCTAAAAGTTTATTTAAAAAAAAAGTAAACATTTTTATGAACCCCAAAAATATTGTGGGTCCTATGCATGGTGTCTACTGTGCCTAATAGATAAGTGGACCTGATTGTGTCTTTGTGGGAAGTTTTGTACTTTATTAATAAAAACCCCTTTTCCTGTTTACTGGATTTGTCTAGATCAGCGATTTTCAACTGGTGTGCCCCAAGAATTTTTAAAACATGCAGCACCTGCCTATTCAGGGGCACTGACCTCTTTTCCCTTAGGTTGTCAAGTAAAAAAATGACAGCAGCCAACACAACAATAGCCGTCCAATGGGAATGAACCAAAGTGATATCCGTGGCGTGGTGCTGCCACAGCCGCCACATCTGGCCACATCTGCTTTGACCATGTCCTTGTGTATGCCTACCTGTTACTCTAAGCCAGCCTTGGGCAAACTACGGCCTGCCCAAGGCTGGCTTACCCTTTTATGTAATGATGTTTACTTTGAATGTATATTAGTTCACACAAACACTCCATCCATGCTTTTGTTCCAGCCCTCCGGTCCAGTTTAAGAACCCATTGTGGCCCTCGAGTCAAAAGTATGCCCACCCCTGGTCTAACCCCCTCACTCAGAATGTTGGAGTATTCCCAGTGTTGACAAGTTCCCTTCTGGCTTGTTCCCAGTCCAGATCCCACTGTCATCGACCTATGAACCAGGATGTCGCAGTTCCATGAAATGACAGAAGCAAATATGACTTTTGTCTTGGTCTTAAATATTCATTAAAGTGATTAACAAAAACCCCAATGACTGTATTCTAAACCAGGCCTATGTCTGGAAAACTGATATACACGTATCTTTGACCTTTTGAAGCCAGAGATGTACTCCCCCCTGACTGACTCAGAAGGAGTGTAAGGTGATCCGATGAACACAGAGTTATGGGACGTCTGCTCCCATAAGCTGATGCAAATGACAATATAAAACATACCTATAATATGTTATTCTCTTATGCCTGTTATCTATAATCCTGATCTATGAGGAGTGTTAAACTTGGAAAACATTCTTAGTGACTGACATGCTTTGTCCTGTATGAATTTCAGTAGCAGATCCAGGCTCAGCCCTGGCTGGCATGGCTCAGTTCGTTGAGCATCCTCCTGTGCACAAAAGGCCGTCAGTTTGATTCCCCGTCAGGGCACGTGCCTGGGTTGCGGTTTCCATCCTTGGTTGGGTTTATACGGGAGGCAACTGATCAATGTATCTCTCTCACGTTGACATTTCTTTCTCTTTCTCTTCCTTTCCCTCTCTCTAAAAATATCAATAAAAGATATTTTTAGAAAATTCAGGCTTAGTTCCACCAGGGATTACTAGGAGTAATGGTTCCACGCCTCCCTGGTAAGAGTACAGCATGAACTTGGGTACAACAATGAAATAAAGCAAATTTCAGGAGGTCTGCTATCAGTTGCCCTCCTATTCAATAAGAAGAATTGATTACCACCAACAACTTATTTCTCCATGCCTGGGTAAAACGACAATGACATCCCAGGCTCTTCACTGGACGCAATGGCCGCCAAGCCCTTGAGGCATAAACATGGCCACACGGCCACGCCTTCCTGTCAAGAAGAACGGAGGACCACGATGTTGGATTTAGGTGGTTTATGTTCCTCAGGAAAGGGCACGCGATAGACCGGGGAACTTGAGAAAGAGGCAGCACATTGAGGTAAAGTGCAGGGACTCAGAGGCTGGCGTCAGGGGCACGATTCCACCGTGATGTCCTTTGGGAGCGGGAGGGTTCTGGGCGTCAGAAACATCAGAAATCCTGTCCCAAGGCTACAGGATGCTTGAGATCAGCTCCGCAGCCCTGGGAAGAAGGAGAGGAATTAAAGACAACTGAGCTCAGGGCTACACCCCTTCCCCTCTAGAGTCCCAGGACAGAAAAAATCCAGAGAGAGGCTGAGTGTTGGTCTGGTGAGCGATGGAAGCTCACCTTCACCTCAGTGCTCACACCCGCCCAAAGGTGGACATGGACCAAGAGTTGGGGGCAACTGGCTCAACTTGAGAAGCAGGGACAGCCTCCGAGAGTTTCTCCCAGGCCAAGAGCACTTCCTAGGACACACCATGAACACAGATGCTCATTAAATGCTCCCAAACTCATGTGCAATGAAATGGATTGCACCCCAAGAAGGAGGAAGGGAGCAGAAACACCACCTATTGGCTGAGGTCTTTGTCGTCCTTAAATGAATGAAAAGGAAGTTGAATGTAGTAATTGAGAAAGTAAAGAGCAGCACCATCTTAGAAAGGCATACCAACAGTTGTGTCCTACGCCCACATCACTGGGAATGAAAGCAGGGCCCAGTTTGTGGACTGAAGCAGGCCCCAGGCTTAAAGGAACAGCCTGCAGGATAGGGCGACAGTCGGCAGCCTCAGGCGCGCTGCTGGGCCAAGATCTCAATCAAGGCCTCTTCCTGTCCGCACGGCGGTCATCGGTCATGGCCGGACCAGAGTCTGATTTCAGTGGCCTCATTCGCTCTGTCATTTTGCTTTTCTGCCTCAACGTCATCACCGAATGAGACAGTGGAAGGGCAATGTCAACCACTTTCCAGGGGTTCTTACCTTGCTGGCCTCGGAAGTGGACAGTGGCGCTCACCACGAGGGCGAGGAGCCCCAGCACAAAGCCCCCTACTCCAGTCAGCATCTTGCTCCGGGCGGAATCTGACTGAGCCTCTGGGAAGAACAGACCCAGGGTCAGTCTCCCCTCCACCTGTGCAACGCCCCCGACACCTGGAGCCTGATCTAGTGCACCACGGAGGGAAGCGGGAGGACAGGCGGAGCTTGGAGCCACTGTGGGAAGGAGTACATGTGGAAAGCACCCCAAAGTTCTGGGTCTCATACTGGTGACGTCCACCGGAGGCAAATGCTGGTTTCAGGTCAACTGTGAAGCCCAAGCAAAGGGACTGAAGGGAGACAGAGGGAGAGGCCAGGTCCCAGGCTGAGGGCCAGACGTGAAGGTGATTGCTTTCCTGACAAGGACAGGTTCTTTAAGACCGCCCTCTTAAGCCCCCCCCCCCCCCCCCCCCCCCCCCCCGCAGGGATAAATGCAGCCAGATCCCTGATGCTCCCAGCCTAGACTACAGTTAGAGGGTTGGTGAGGACACATGGGGTGACGTGACCCCGGTGGGTAGTGAGTGGATCCCAGAGGGCCATCAGGGAGTAACTCACTCCACTCTACAGTGACAGCACTGTCCAGGCTGGGGTGCTCCACGTGGCAGGTGTAGACATCCCCCTGCTGAGGGGTCATTTCCAGCATCACCAGGATCTGGAAGGTCCAGTCCCCGTTATGGATCAGGTTGGTGGACACGACCCCCGCGGTTTCCTCCTGTCCATTCAGGAACCAGCGGACTTGAACGTGGCCGGGGTAGAAATCGGTCACGTGGCAGACAAGCAGGTCGGGGTGCTGCAGGGGCCCCTTCTTGGAGGGGGACACGTTCACTTTAGGCTGGACTGGGCGTGGGAAAAAGAATCTTGTTGTGACAACGGAGACAGTTAACGCAGTGCATTTAGCAAATTTCTTGCAAACTGACTTCTAGAGGTTAAAGTAAATATGTCATCTGTTAAGCTATTTGGAGGCAGAAGACGGGGATCTGTGCAGGAAAAACAATAAAACATTGCAATGTTCCAAGGACGACCTTGTCATCCACGGTAAAGAAAGAGCAGCGAACAGGAGAGGGTCACATTTGGCACTTTCTCCAGAAACGGAGGACGTTGTGACTAATGTTTTCAACAGAAATGTTGAACCAGCTATGAAACTACCTAAATTTACATTTTCCCATCTTGTTCAGGAGGATGGACACTCCTTCCAGATACTACCTTGGAATTGGGTCTATCAGTCTGATGTCCTCATTAAAAAGAGGTGAGGATTGAAGTACTTTGATTCGTCTTTCGTTTAACCTCTATGTCTCCTGGCCATCTCAGCCAAGGAAAGTTCCCAGCAAGACCCACAAACCCATGTTCTCAGCTCTTTCGAGTTGCATTAACAGGGAGCCTGCCCTTTCCCATGTGGTCTGGCCCCTGCGCCTGGTTAAGCCCCCTGGGATCCGGCCCCCCAGCCTGGGATGGCTGGGCTGGGAGACGGGAAAGAGAGCACGCCCTCTCTGCCCCAAGCCCACCCTGCGGCCTCCCCTGCCCGCCCACCTCTGCGCTCCAGGGTGAAGGCCCGGTCCAGCTCGTAGTTGTGTCTGCACACCGCGTCCACCGCGCCCCGCCGCAGCTCCAGGAACTCCCCCTGGATGTTCCAGTTCCTGGCGGTGGTGCGCCCGAGCTCGGTCACGGCCACAAACACGCCCACGGTGCTGTCGAACTGCACGAACACGTCTCTGTTGTACACGTATCGCTCCAGGAAGCGGTGCGTCCCGTTGGACTCGTAGCAGTCGCTCCTCCTCTGATACACGTGGACCGCTGAGAGCGAGAAGGACCGGACGGGCTGAGTGGGCTGAGCGGGCTGCCCGGTGCCTCCAGACACGCTGCCCACCTGGCTGCGCCCTTCGCCGCTGAGGCTCAATCCCCAGTAGGGGGCGTGCAGAAGGCTGCTAATCAGTGATTATCTCTCATCATTGATGTTTCTATCTCCCTTTATAAAAAAGTAAAATAAATAAATAAATCCTACACAATCACAAAATTTACCCATAGTGATCTGAAACCGAATAGAGGCTCAGAGTTTATGAGCACATGGGATTTAATACACAACAAAGGGAGTCCCTCAGCAGATGGGGTTGAGGAAACCGGCTTAGATAAGAAGGGAAAAAATCTAGATCTGCATTTAACATACAAACTTGGACCCCAGAAGGATTAAAAACCTAAACATAAATAGTAAACTCTACGGTAAATATAAGAAGGTACAGGAGAATACAATTATGAACATGGGGTGAGGAAGCATTTCTTAAGCAAATATAAGAACACTAGAGGCCCAGTGCATGAAATTCATGCACTGCAGGGGGGGGTGTCCCTCAGCCCCACCTGCGCCCTCTCACAGTGCGGGAGCCCTCGGGGATGTCAGCCATCCTTAGTGCTGCCACGGAGGCAGGAGAGGCTCCCACAGGACAGTGCCGCTGCATAACCCTGGCTTCTGGCTGACCGGTGCTCCCCTGTGGGAGCACACTGACCACCAGGGGGCAGCTCCTGCATTGAGCACCTGCCCCTGGTGGTCAGTGGTTAAGCAGAGGGTATCACTAATAAGTTAGTAGACAGGGAATAGAAATAGACTCACGATATCTAAAATGGAGATAGTGTCATATCCAAAAATCATTGCCCAGACCAAGGTCAAGAAGCTTTAACTCTATGTTTTCTTCTAGGAGTTTTATGGTTTCAGATTTGACATTTAGGTCTTCAGCCCATTATGAGTTGATGTTTGCATATGGTGAGAAGTAAGGGATCATTTCATGTTTTTCTGCGGGTGGGTCTATATATCTGTTTTTGTGCTGGTACCATACTGTTTTGGTTATTGTAGCTTTGTGATATATTTTGAAATCAGAAGTGTGATACCTCCATCTTTGCTCTTCTTGCTCATGCCTTGGCCAGACAACTGGTTATAAATGGCTGGCTCCCTGCAATCCAATTGGGGGATGTCTACTGAAGGAGTCTTAGGGTGCAGCTTCTCTATATGACTTAAAATGTATCGTAAGTGGAAACTGCAGGTGGAATTTATCACAGAACTTCCCAGGCCACAGAAATGAGGGTGATGCTGCCCAGAGGCGGAAGGAAAGACTCAGAAGAGTGTGTCAACCCGCGGCTCACCACGTCAGGTCAGGGCTGAGCTCAGGGAGCCCAGGCTCCAGGTGGCGCTCCTCTGCGTGCTCTTCCCGTGGCTCAGGAGCCTCCCCAAGCGGCTGTCAAGGAACCTTGAGGTTCCAGGAGCAGCAGGAGGAGAGTGTGAGGGGCCCTCCATTGTCTCTGTCACTGCAGAGCTGGCCAGGGTTGATCTGGTCAGCGTCCCTGTCTTTCCCAGAGTTCCCCGCACCCCAACTTGAAGCTGGGGTCAGGAGCCGCCACACCAGCCTCGGGGACACCTCGACTTTTAGCCCACGGGATTCCAGCTTCGCTCATTCCTCTCCGACCGCCTGAGCCTGCCCCCTTGCCCAGTGCCTGCCCTCAGCCTCTGAGTTCCGGGCCCATCCAGGCTGGGGTCTCTGTGGCATGGCTTCACCTGCCTCCTGCTCCACTCCCCGCCTCTAACTCCGTGTCCTGTACCACTGATAGGGCTCCCCACCTGGTTTCCAATCAGGGCACATTCTGTTGGTCCTGGGTAGTGGTTTGAATTTTTTTCTTTTTCAAAGCAATTGACTTTTCTCTCCCTCATCAAATCTAACTTGCAAAGCAGAGAACTGCCACACAAGGGTCTCTCAAAACTGCTTTTTTGTGTGTATGTGAAACGTATCAGAGTTTGTGAAACTCTTGGAAACATCTGAACTTTCTAGACCAAAGCCTGACAACTTCTGCAAGGTAAGCCGTTCTTTTCGGAACGGGCCATGTTAAGAACCTGTGATGACGCCGGGGTCTGAGGAAGGCAGCACAGCGAGGGTGCCACGCCCAGCTGTGTGCCCGGGACAATGGAGTCCCAACCTGCTCACCCCAAAAGGAATGTTCTATCTATTGGTTTATCTGGAAGGACTACAACTAAAATGACATCAGTTGATATAAAGGAAGGCTAGAGCGCAGTGATGTCCGCTCACTGGAGGCGAGAGCCCTTCCCCCTTCAAGCTGTGATGTCTGTGGAGACGAGGAGAAACCTGCTTGTTCAGAATGACTCAAAGGGCTGCCCTCGGGGCCCAGCCTGAACGCTCACAAAGGAGCGTTATTACGTCTCTCTGTTTCACCTCCTCTTTCCTTGCTCTGGGGGAAGGTGCAGACACCCCGGGGGGTCAGAGGAAGAAGGAAAGGGAGGGCTCTGTCCAGCCCACTGGAGCCTGGCGCCTGGACCCCACATTTCACCCACAGCGAGTTCCTCAGCATGATTAGTGCGGAGGGCTCTGGACCCCGTCGCCTCCCCCAGCGACTCTCACGCGGCGAACACATCTCATGCCTCTCACTGATGGAACCCCTTGGCCTTCCACCTCCGCCCCCCCACACACTGCTCACTGCTCACCCCAAAGAAGCCCCGCCCTGACTGCAATGCACTCATCAATGCCCCGCTGTCCCCGCTCCCAGAGACCTGTGCCTCCTGCACCGCCTCCCCTCTCACCTCCTGCCGGACACTGTCCCATCTCCCAGTCGCTCCCATGGCCCTCTGCCCTCTGACTCACACTCCTCCATTCTCCTCTCACCTGCAGGCACAGCCCCACAGCTGAGCTGCCCCGTCCAGTTCTCTGTCCCCCTGAGTGGTGAGTGTCAGAAATCTCCTTCCTTCTGTCTGAGACATGGGTGCAACGGGATGGGGTTTGAGCAGATGGCTTTGGGAGTTTTAAATGCTATTAACCCTAGAAGCTGGGAAAGACGCTGGAGGGAACCTGAGTCTTAGAAGTGGGACTGGCTTTCTGGGCGGAGATGGAGAGGTTGGGGGATTCTAACATAATCGACTTCATGGTCTGTTCCCTGTTCTGCATGCCTGGGCTTGGGGGGAAATGGGAACGAAAGGGGCCATTTCCTGCTTCCCACTTCCTCTCTGGCCCGGGGTCGCCTGGTTCTGTGGAAGGGCCTCCGCCTGGGGCATGGTTGGCTGTGGGACCCGGGATCCCGGACACTGCAGAGTAGCGTGGTTCTGGTCTCTGATGCTGGAACGTCATCCTGACCCCTCCGTGAGAGCCTTGTCCCCACAAAGCCATTCCTGGCCGCCGGGCGCATTGTGTCCAGCAGGCACACACCCTGCTCTCTTCTCTCTCTGGTGGGAATTGTGGCCCCTGGGTGATGTTGGCCCTCAAAGCCTCTCTGTGGGTTGGGCCCACATGGGATACCACCCGCCCCCCGTCATTCCCCTGAGCCAGGCCCCCCAAGAGCAGTGGCTCTGCACTTACCTGTGGTGTCTCTGCCCTGAGCCCAAGGGGAGCTCAACATCACCAAGGGCATCAGGAGAGCGGCCATGCAGGGAGCCCCAGGGGCTTGCGGGGCCACCATCCTGGATCCCGGGGGAAAGACCTGGCCGAGAGATTCGCAGAAGGAGAAGGGCACTCAGTGGGCTGCCCTCCTAAATATTAGAGTCGATGAGCCAGGACAGCCCCTGCATCCCTGGGTGTGGCCAGATTCCAAAAAGGGAACCAATGGGTAGGACTTGTCCCTCCAGGCAGAGGGCGGGGTGAAGCACACGAGCCTTCAAGGGGTAAGAGCCACTGAGGACAGTGAGGAAAGGGGTCCTCGTGTGAGGAACTGGGTGAGTCACGGGCTTGTTTCTGTGCTTCCCTTGCTCGTGTGCAGACACCAGCATGCCGGTCCCACTCTGCTCTGGGGTGAGCGCCACCCCCCCATAACGAGTTCTGGGAGTGGGCAGCCCTGAGCAGTTACAGTCCGGGGGCTGGACTGTCCCGCAGAGCTTGGGCACAGCCATGGGAGTGTGATCTCCTCCCGGCAGAGGCCTGCCTGACCTCCCGGCACAGGGCAGAGGAGGGGCCCCTGACCTAGCACCACGGCAGGCGTGCAGGTAAGCGTGCAGCTCTGGGCAGCACTTCTTGTCCTTCCTGGGCCAGTTTCTTCATGTTTGAAGTGGGGATGGTAGCGTTGCCTCCTCCGTAACTCTGTGTGGGTGAGTGAGAGCAGACATGTAAACTGCCTGAGACACTTGAAGATCTGGGAGGGTTTGAATAGACCAATGACGTTACAAGGACCATCCTTTCCTTGCAATTCAGTATATTTTTGGGGGGTAACGTTTTAATCCAATTAATCCCCAACAAACCAACTTACATATAGTTCTTATATTGAGGTGACTACATCCCCCTGCACACAAACGTCAGAGAGAAAATGACAAAAGAATCTAATTCCCCACCAGCTTATTAAGGGCCTAAGTAAAATGCCAACAATGAAGGCTGAGATGGCCCTGGTGGGGTTGCAACGGCCCCGGTGCGGTTGCAATGGTCCCAGTGAGGTTGAGACGGCCCCAGTGAGGTTGAATCGGTCCCGATGAGGTTGAGATGGCCCTAGTGAGGCTGAAACAGCCCCAGTGAGGCTGAAACGGCCCCAGTGAGGTTGTATCAGCCTCGGTGAGGCTGGGATGGGCCCGGTGAGGTTGAGACGGCCCGGGTGAGGCTGAATCGGCCCCTGTGAGATTGAAAACTACAGTGGGAACCCTGGGGAGGGTTGTGGAGGGGTAGGAGATCAACAGAAGGACTTACATGCATGCATATAGAATAACTAATGGACACAAGACACTGGGGGGTGGGGAAGGCGGGGGAATGTCAAGGGGGGGGGGAAGGAGACATGGGTAATACTCTTTGTAACACTTTAAGAAATAAAAAAAAATGCCAATAATGAGTGAAAGCACATCTGGGAATTGGGGGTAGGTTTGCTGCTGGGACCAGTGTGTTCCGGTGAAGCGGTCAGACTCAGGGCCGTGGGAGACCTCCCAGCTGGGAAGCCCTCCCTGATGCTGCCTGCCTCCGGCTGAAGCCAGGGCCAAGCTGTTGAGCCACCTGTGACTCGGTTCCTCTCACGTAGGATGAAGATCACTGTGGCACCTATGCCGCTGGTTTATTTGGAGAAGTAATTGGGATCCTCTCTAAACAGAGCCTTGTGCGGGGAAGGTATCAAGCTATGCTAATTATTACAATGCTAGGCTAGTTCAGAGCACCACAAACTCTTTATTCAATACATTATTTAATCCAATAATAGAAACTCTATTATCTATATACGTATATAAAAAGCCAGCGACTGTAACACCATAACAACCGGTAGCTATGATGCCCTCTGCAGCCAGCAAACCCACCTGATGGGGGATGGGGCCGGCCAGCCAACCTCCCTCGGTCCCTCCCCCCCAGATGGCCCTGATCGGCCTTTCCCACCCCAATCATGGGTGGGGTGCTGGCCACCCCCCATACCCCTCTCCTGGTCAGCTGTGCCCCTGATTTCCACCCCCCCTTACCCCAATAGGGGGTGGGCTGGCTGGCCAATGGCATGCAGTGCCTCCCCCCAACTGGCCCCCATCACACCAATCGGACCATGGCCCCTTCCCCCAGCCAGCTCTGCCTCTGATCGCCCCTCCCCCACACCAATTGGGGGTGGGGCTGGCCGGCCAACCTCCCACTGCCCCTCCCCTGGCTCCTGACCCCATATCGGTGCCCCCACCTCATTTGGGGCAGGGCCTGTTGGCCCACCGCCCCTTCTCACGGCTGGCCATGGCCCCAATCGGCCACCCATCCCCATCGGCGGTGGGGCCTCCCCAGCCATTCGCCCTTGACCCCTTCCTCCAGTTGGCCTGGCCCTGATCCACCCAGGGTGGGCCAGCTGGCCAACCTCCCACCCCAATTCGCCCCAATTGGGGCCAGGCTGGCCTGACCCCACCGGTGCACAAATTTGTGCACTGGGCCACTGGCCAACCTCCCACCCCAATTTGCCCCAATTGAAATTAATATCATGTAGAAATTAATGCCTGGCCCCACCGGTGCACAAATTTGTGCACTGGGCCTTTAGGTTTACAATAAATACCAGAGAAACCACTCCCCTTTATTATAGTTTCAAATTTCTCTGTAATAAAACAGGATATAAAGGAAAGATATACCATTAGACTTAGTGTGAAATGATTAGAGAAATTGTTCTTA